TGTCACTGCAAAGTATCAATAGGTAAATCTGTCTCTTGTCCCTGTTTGAGAGTATGATATCATCAGACGCATGGGTTTACTCTCTATTACACACCCCTTTAATTTTGTAAACTTACGCTCTTTTTCCTTGAGTACATGTTTGGCTCGTCTACCTTCTGTTCATTTACTTAAAACTCTGTTATTAGGTTAACTGGATTTTGAGCCAACAGCTCTGTTTGGAGGATTGTCAAACCTGGATGAGTACAAAATAAACGTGTAAAGCTCTGTCCATGGATTCATTTGTTCTTAGCTTGTTTAGAGTCTGACCTTTCTTGTCTTTGCCGTCCTCCTCCACGTCTCCGGCTCCGAGCAGAGTGAAGATGATTCCAGTCTGAGAGTTGACTCCCACCGCAGTGACCAGCATCCTCCCAGAGCCCTCCATCACATGAGTGCCTATACAAATATACTGGAGATTACACTTCCATTTCAGTAGCACCGTGATAAAAAACACTATTTAGACGACAGAATGTGATTTTCAGCATGAAATTTTAGTACTTTCCTTGTGAATGTGACTTTTTATAATTGGTACCTGCTCGAATGAACATCTAGTTTCAATACTAATTTGATGAGATTATACAGACAAAGTTATCTCAAAAATAGAGCTGCACCAAACTGTGACTAGAAAACTTATATGTGTTTTTTTTTTTAAACATTAAGAGTGCAGGCTTTTTTTCTGTAATGACACTTGTTACATATTCTTGTGCGTGACATGGGGTCTATGACTCTGATGATATTATAAAGTTTGTTATAACTATTATATATAGTGTTATAACAGTGTTATAATAGTGTTATAACTAACTATAACCGTATCGTTCCTCATACAGACCTGACAGTAACATGGGGTCTTTGTCCACAGACTTGCGCACGTGGTCAGACTCTCCGGTCAGAGAGCTCTCATCAATCTTCAGGTCATTCCCCTGCACCAGAATCCCATCGGCCGGAAGCAGGTCTCCTACAAACAAACAAGCACACACACACACACACACATATACAGGGGAGTGAGCACTGAAGAGACATTACTATATAATCTATAAAACACAAGAACCAGGATCCCATCAGCTGGAAGCAGGTCTCCTACAAACAACAGGAGAGTCAGGGCTGAGTGGAAATGGGACAGTACTGATCTTTTTATCACAATTATCATGGCCAAATGAATAATTTGACTTCATCAGCTTCCAAAAACAAAAACTATTAATTAAACTATTAATCTACTGGTCATAACAAGTTTTGAACCCTCACACACAAGATCCATGTGTGGCTTTGGGCACAACAAGGACCTGCACCATCTAGACTTTAACTAGTTCAGAAAACTATAAACCAAATCCTACAGACTGATGAGATACTGGAGGTCAGAATCCAAGTATGGAACAAATTCACCCCTATAACCGCTCGATGAGCTTCATTTGACTGGAGCTGAGTGCTGTGAGTGACGTCACACTCTCTTAGTCCACTTCTTCTTACAGTCTGTGGTTTGAACGTTGACTAACCAAACAGACTCACCGTATTTGACCTGTGCCATGTCGCCCACCACCATGTCGGCCACTGGGATCTGGATGACGTTCCCTTTCCTGACCACGGCAAACCTCTGCTCCTGCTCAATCCGGGACTGCAGACCGCGGAACTGCTTCTCTTTGCTCCAGTCGTTAAACGCCGTCACCAGGACGACACACACCACCGACAACAAGATGGCCGCCCCCTCGATCCAGCCCGCCTCCGCCTCGCCTTCATCCTCCGCCCCCGCCGACACGTTACCGCACGCTGAAAATGAACGACAGAAAGTTTAGTTATAACTTCAATGTGCACAGCTGATTAAGGAGTTTGGAAACATGGACTAAACCAAAACTTACCAAGGGAAGTAACCAGTAACCAATTAAGGACTAAACCAGAGACTGAACCAGGACTTAATCAAAACTGAACAAGGGACTATACAAGAAAATAAGTAAGGAAGTAGAAGGACTAAACCAGGACTAAACCTGGTCTAAAGCTGGACTGAACCAGGTCTAAACCAGGTCTGAACCAGGTCTGAACTAGGTCTGAAGGTCTGAACTAGGTCTGAACTAGGTCTGAACCAGGTCTGAACTAGGTCTGAACTAGGTCTGAACTAGGTGTCTTTGCTGGGTAGCTGGTGGGCCAGGGAGATGATGACTAAACCAGGACTATATCAGGTCTAAACCCGGTCTAAACCTGGATTAAAGCTGGTCTAAAGCTGGTCTACAGCTGGTCTAAAGCAGCAGGTCTGAAGCAGGTCTGAAGCAGGTCTTACCCTCTGTGTCTTTGCCGGGGGGCTGGTAGAAGGACAGGCCCAGGGAGATGATGGCTGCGATCTCGAGGATGATGAGGGTCACGTCCTGTAGAGCCTCCCAGACCAGCTCCAGAAACGTTTTGGGTTTTTTTGGAGGAATAAAGTTCTGCCCAAACGTTTGTCTCCTGCGCTCCAGGTCTCCAGGCTCCCCGCTCAGGCCTGGGACAGAGAGACAGAGGAAGAAGATCAAATATGGAAGAAAAACTTTGGAATAAAAATAAACTGTTCCTGCACAAAAAGTGAAAACCCCTCAAAGCTGACTGTGTAAGTGATCTGTGACATGTCTCTGACTGTGAAGGTCAAAACCCTGACACAATATGACTTTTCACGAGTGAAATAATCTCACCAGCAACACACATTCTCGTCCTTTTTGTGAGTTCACAAAATCCGTCTTGTCCAGCTCCAGCTGATTAGTTTGCATGCGATAGGTCAGAAAATGACCAATCACAGAGCAGCACCGTGGTTTGTGCAGAAGCTGAATGAACCAAAACAAACGTGGAGAAGCTGATGCACTTCAGTCTGTTTTAGCAGAAACACACACTCTTTAGTTTGTGAAAATCGTGCAGAGGCAAGCGCTTTGTGCATTTGTGGAGGGAAGATGTCTGTGCTTTTCTCTCAACTGGATTGAACTCAAGTTTAATTCTTCTGATTGTTCCGCTGTTGTGACACTTCCACCAATCAGCGCGAAGTCTGAACGCTCTGATCACTGGTTCCGATCTCGTTTAGTGAGAGTCATTCCAGACTGATGTAGAACTCAGAGAACTGCACATGTCAGTCTGATCTCAGACACAGGTTACACACACTGAGCTTTGTACCACATATACCTCTAAGATATACCTCTAACCCAAAAACATGCTACAGGTCTCCAGAACAGTTGATAGTCAAGGTTAGTTAAATACAATCAATCAATGAACCTGTCCAGGGACGACAGGTGGAAATTAGCACTGATGCTACAACCTGATGTACAAGCATCTCTCCTGTCAAGGTTAATGTGAAAATTGTGCGCTGTCCCTGTCTCAAATAAATAAATAAATAATAAAATAATAATAATAATAATCTACCGCATATATCTCCAATACAACAGAAATGATGAACAGTTTAAGTGAAAATGACAAAAAGTGGCATACAGGGAGCCAACACGAGGGTCAAAATGATTTAACTGGATCCTCTATCTGTAACAGACTGTAAAGAAACAACAAAAAGCAGTGTAATAACATTCATTCTACACAAACTTTAAAGTCTGATCCCTGCATCTACACGTCAGTCTGTGAATTATTGAACAGACAATATCAGGAAATTGGCAGGAAATGAATAACTCAATCAGATATTACTCGACAGAATGTGCTTTCTGCTCTCTTGTCTTCAGTCTTACTCTGCAAAATCCTCCTCCTCCCCCCTCACACGTGCAGTTTCCATGGAGACCACAAAACCAGGACCGCCGCTTCCTGCATCCCACAGGTCTCTGCCCAGCAACAGGTGATGTCACCGCTCACAACGCTGCATACTGAAGCATTCTTTTTTTCTATAGGCTCTCGGGAAAGGGGAAGGGACACTAGTATGGCGTGATTGGTGGAAACAAGTGTCAGTCACAGGAGCGTGTTTAGCCTTAGTGTTTTGCAGATATTGGCTTAAATGTTTGCCGTGGCTTTCTGGAGTTATGCAGCGAGGTTTCAACACGATCAGACGAGACTGAAGAGGAAGAGGAGAGGAGACATCTTTCTCTTTTCACTGTCCATCCCTCCTCCTCTCCTCCTCCCTCTCTCCTCCTCCCTCTCTTTTTCCCTCTCTCTTTCCCTCCTTCTCTCTCTCTCTCTCTCTCTCTCAATCTCCCCTTGATGTGTCCTTGACAATGCGGCAAGCTTCACCCCATCCTCTGCACCGCAAAAAACATCTCCCCAAGTCACCAGGACTGAACCAGGACTGAACCAGGACTGAACCAGGACTGAACCAGGACTAGACCAGGACTGAACCAGGACTGAACCAGGACTAAACCAGGACTAGACCAGGACTGAACCAGGACTAGACCAGGACTGAACCAGGACTTAACCAGGACTGAACCAGGACTGAACCAGGACTGAACCAGGACTAAACCAGGACTAGACCAGGACTGAACCAGGACTAAACCAGGACTAAACCAGGACTAGACCAGGACTGAAACCAGGACTGAACCAGGACTAGACCAGGACTAAACCAGGACTAAACCAGGACTGAACCAGGACTTAACCAAGATTAAACCAGGACTAAACCAGGACTAGACCAGGACTAGACCAGGACTAAACCAGGACTAAACCAGGACTAAACCAAGATTAAACCAGGACTAAACCAGGACTAGACCAGGACTAGACCAGGACTAAACCAGGACTAAACCAGGACTAAACCAGGACTAGACCAGGACTAGACCAGGACTAAACCAGGACTAAACCAGGACTAAACCAAGACTAAACCAGGACTAAACCAGGACTAAACCAAGATTAAACCAGGACTAAACCAGGACTAAACCAAGATTAAACCAGGACTAAACCAGGACTGAACCAGGACTGAACTAGGACTGAATTAGGACTAAACCAGGACTAAACCAAGATTAAACCAGGACTAAACCAGGACTAGACCAGGACTAGACCAGGACTAAACCAGGACTAAACCAGGACTAAACCAAGATTAAACCAGGACTAAACCAGGACTAAACCAGGACCAAACCAAGACTAAACCAGGACTAAACTAACCAACATCTCCTCGGCTCAGTTCACTGTGCGTCACTCTGAAGAATTTGGGGAAAATATCTCATAGTGATTTTTCTGACAAACATTATATTTTAAGACTAGGATTCAGTTCAAAGTTCACATTTGAAACATGAAATATGTCAGAGGTGTGTCAGATGCCCTCCCTGTCTCTCTGTGGGCTCTTAAAAGCTGCTCACCCTGTAGTTTAAACCTCTACAAACATGAAATGCACGCAATTCTTGGGTTCATTTAGCAAATACCATGAATCCTCGTATATTCTTCTTATCAATATGTAACATCAGCCCTGAACCAGAGCAAACCTCAAACTGTGGACTGTGTGCTCCAGATCTAAGTCCTCCTCCTCCTCCTCTCACACTCACACAATCAAACACTGATGCAGGCTTTAGTCACTGGAGAACAAACAGCACACAGGACTACACAGACCATGATGCTTTGCTCCAGTGCAGTCTTCACTCCTCTCATAGTCACTACGCACTTCTGTAAACTACAACTGTGCAGGATCTGACACAGAGCAAACTCAACACCACCACACTACAAACATCTCACTGTACACGTCATTAAACCACTCTCTGCATTTGACCCGTCCTTCAGCATCTCTGAGTTAAAACTGCATTTTATTTTGACCCGTCCTTGAGTGTCTCTAGGTTAAAACTGCATTTGATCCATCCTTCAATGTCTCTGGTTTATACCTACATTTGACCCATCCTACAGTTTCTCTGGTTTAAACTGCATTTGACCCATCCTTCAGTGTCTCTAGATTAAACTGCATTTGACCCATCCTTCAGTATCTCTAGGTTAAACCTGCATTTGACCCATCCTTCAGTGTCTCTGACTTAAAACTACATTTGACCCATTCTTCAGTGTCTCTCAGTTAAAGCAGAATTTGACCCACCCTTCAGAGTCTAAAACTGCATTTGACCCATCCTTCAGTTTCTCTAAGTTAAACCTGCATTTGACCCATCCTTTAGTGTTTCTGAGTTAAAAATGCATATGACCCATCCATCATTTTCTCTGACTTAAAACTGCATTTGACCCATCCTTCAGTGTCTCTGACTTAAACCTGCATTTGACCCATCCTTCAGTGTCTCTGACTTAAAACTGCATTTGACCCATCCTTCAGTGTCTCTGACTTAAACCTGCATTTGACCCTTCCTTCAGTGTCTCTGACTTAAACCTGCATTTGACCCATCCTTCAGTGTCTCTCACTTAAAGCAGAATTTGACCCATCCTTCAGAGTGTAAACCTGCATTTGACCCATCCTTCAGCGTCTCTAGGTTAAACCTGCATTTGACCCATCCTTCTGTGGGTTAAATGTGACAGGACTGCCTTACGTGGAGGATCTGAGTCATGGTGCATGTTTCTGGTTGCTGGAGGAACAGTGATTTAGATCAGTCACAGTCGCTCTGATCCACTGGGCCGATCCACATGAAACATATGAAACATGAAACATGAAACATGAAAAGAGCCGTCGAAATAACTGAGCTGTACAATATACTGCATCCACATCCAAATCACACATCCAGTCACAACTGGAATACAGGTTTGTTTCAACATTTGTGGATTGAAGCTGGTCTAAAGTAGAACTAGACTAGATTAGACTGAAGCAGATCTGGACTAAAGCAGGAGTAGACCAGGCCTAAACCAAGATGAAACCAGGTCTGAACCAGGACTGAACCAGGACTAAACCAGGTCTGAACCAGGACTGAACCAGGGCTAAACCAGACTGAACCAGGACTAAACCAGGTCTGAACCAGGACTGAACCAGGGCTAAACCAGGACTGAACCAGGACTAAACCAGGATGAGACTAGGGCTCAACCAGGACCTAAGCCAGTATTAAATCAGGGCAGAATCTGAGCTAAATCAGGACTGAAGCAGGACTAGATCAAGGACTGAATGAAATATGTGGTCAGATGTTTTTTCAAAAACAGTGACTCACCTAGTACATATATTTTTAAAATGATTTTTATCATGGTGTTATGAGACTGGGTCTTGAGTATGGCGTGTGTTCCTAAGTATGGACAGAGTTTGTGACTGTTCTTGTGGCTGGAGTCGTTCTTGGGACTCTCTCTCTTTGGATGTTGTGTTTTTGAGCGGCTCACAGGCTTTTGTTGCTCTGTCAGAACCAGAGCAGAAAATATCACAAATTATAGGTTTGAACCATCTGTCAGAGTTTAGACGATTACATTAGAAGTGAAGCAGAGGAAACAGACGGACTGAGCGAGGACTCAAACAGGACTGGACCAGGACTAAACCAGGATTAAAACAGGACTGAACCAGGACTAAACCAGGACTAAACAGGACAGAACAGAACACTGCAAACTAAACCAGACTCCACACAGACACAGGGAGAACATGCAAACACACAGACACAGGAAGAACATGCAAACTCCACACAGACACAGGAGACACATGACACA